GGAATGTTTTCTTGTTTCGTCACTGTCATTGGGTTTGGGTGAAAAACTGGGCCTTCATTCACATCCTCAACAGTGATCTGAACTGTTGCTGTGGAACTGGGGCCATAGGCTATGTCTGGAATCAGCGGGTCTTCATTTTCTACTTTGATCAGCAGCGTGTGAAATGCTGAAATCTCATAGTCCAAAGGCTGTAAAATATAACAGGAAAGCAGAATGCAAGGTGAGAAGACAGCACTTAACATTTTTTGCCTTCTACCCCACTGCAAACTGGCAGAAGATAGAATTAGCCAGCAAGGGACAAGAGCATCCATTGCCTCTGATAGTTGGTCAGAATTTAGCATTAGGCTCATGGTGGTTAGATAAAGTGCACTGAAAGTAACAAAGAGCATGGTCTTAATGAAAGATGGAGATGTCCCTCCAGCCAAAAGCATGTACTTTTTTTGTCATGCCTCATACATAGAATTCTCATATATACATGCTTATTTATGATGTATTAATGCACTTAGCAAATAAATCAGTCCTACCTAGTAGCTACTTATGATAAGTAACATAGGGCATTTGTCTCAACTCCTGCCTTGAAATCAAGAGTACTGCCATGGACATACATGGTATTTGTCTTAAGAACTGAAAATGCCTTTTGGGAAGTCAAACATAGAAAATTATGGTACAGGCAGCAACCAGGGCTATTTTTATTTTATTTTTATTTGCTTTTAAAGTTTGAGATATAGGATTATCTTCATACAAAGAAAGGCAGTAATTTATTTATTTTTTCATGAAAATTTAGCAATGCTGGACCAAAGATGGCTCTCCAGCTCAGTCTGAAGCCACGTCCCTTACTTGCCTGGTGTTTGCATCTGTGTTGGATTCATCTTGGATTCTAAGTGCAACCTCAGTCACATACAAAAACTTTTTATCAAGCCTTACTATTAACTGTGATGCTCACTGGAACCCTAGCTGTTCTTTAAACACAAGGGCAACAGACAGGCCCTCATGACTAAAGAAGCAAGGTTACTGTGACAGAAGAGTCATAGATATTGTTTGGATAAGAGCTGGTAGCCAACTATATATTTTCTAGTAACTTATCCTTGCTGTGCCTTTTCTTATGCAGTAAATACAGTGGGTGGACCTTACAGTAATAATACAATAGCAAAATGTTCTTACTTTGACAACAGAGAGCATTCCCTCATTAGTCTGGGGGTTAGTGTGGATTTCAAAACTCTGCCCTGGATTTCCATTAATAATGGTGTAGACAGCTCTCCATGCTCCTGTTGCCGGGTCGTCTCGGTCACCAACAGTTAAGTTTACTATGACACCTGTGACTCCCTCTTTCACTGTGGCTTGAAACTAGAAAAGAAACACAAAACATAGAGGAAACTGTTAAAAATTTCAGTTAATGACCTCACACACGTATGAAATATCCACGTCAGCATGAATTATATACCTCAAAAGGAAAAAGATACAAACTGATTGAAACCAAACATTACAGGCTCTAAATAATACATTCTCACTCATGAAATACAAGGTAGCACATTACAGCTGCTTCAAATTTAAGAGATGGCAGGTGAGCACAATGTGATGGGAACCAACCTTTGGAACATTGATGACAGTTCATCTCACATGACTGGAAAACGAGTCCTGAAAACAGGGCTGGTGTTGCAGGGGTGCAAATGTTGCCACAGAGGGAACCACACTCAGAGCTAAGCAGAAGAGGAAACTGACAGTATAGCCCATTCCTGCCCTCCAATGTATTGGCATTTACAAATGATCCAGTTTGCATTTCAGACTATTGCTTTCATAGGTTTCCCCACCCATACTCATTTTTCACTACTACATTGTTCTCAATACAGAAATAATTTTTCACCAAAAATGCTCCCGTACTGTGTTTGGGGGTGTTGCTCTAAGAGACTCACAATCAACTGGACCTCGTGCTATGTCAGCATAACTAAAAGCCAGTGTAACTTCCTTTTTTCAGTGGAAGTATTTTTTATGACCTTGTGAAGTTTGCTGCACTGCTGCACTATTCAGCTAGCCAAGCCTTATGAGAAAATTCTAACTTACTATCTGGACAAACACTGTATAACATTTTTATTTATGTAGGAAAAAACATTAAGCAAACCACTGGAAAAGCTTGTAAGGGTCAGACTTAATAGTATTCCTCACCTTTGAAGTACTTGAGGCTGACGTGCTAAAAGCACTGTATATAAGAGTGATAAGATAATACCAGCTTTATAGGTAGATAAACCAGAATGATAACATAGCTAATCCTGAGAAGTGCTGAACATCAGCAGTACCATTATAGATCATTAGGAAATCTTAGCATTTCTGGGGATTAAGCCTTCAAAAGCCAAAAGTGACAAACTTTAATGACACAAATAGGATTTGCTGTACAAGCACTACTTAAAAGCTACAATGGCTGTGACAATATAGCACTCAAGGGCAAAAATCACCCAAGCAGCTTCAAGACCTGAATAGACTAAATGTCTTTTGTTCTGTCTTACAGCCCACATGAAGTCATAACACTACAGGAGATTTGGTGAGAATATTGAATCCAGACAATGACATCTTATGAATATATAGATGTTGGAATTGGGACAAACAGTAGGTAAAACTGATTCCCCTGTAGTCAAATACAGAGGAGACATCTATGTCTTTTCCTGTGTTCACTTATCTTCTTTTTTTTTTTTTTATTTCTTCCAAGAGGTTTGACTTATGTTTCCAAACCCATTTTCAATTTAGCTGTTTAATTTGAGTATATGCACTCAGTTCAAGCTTTCCAGCCTCAAACCTGATTGTATAAAAAGATGACATTAATAATTGCCCATTTCTATCTTCATTGGTATATTTAACAAAGAACTTAAAGATTCTTTTCATTTTGATAGTTAATATGTAACAGGTTGTGATTGAGCCTTTTTTCAGACAGATCATTAAGCTCATTTGCAGTTTAATTAACTCTAAAGGATAATATAACACTATTTTTCCTTCCTTTGAAGCAAATCAAAAGAAAAGCTCTATTAAGAATCTTGGAAAGAATAAAGGAATGGTTATGAAGATTGCATTCCTCCTGCTCAGCAAAATGCTGTCACTGGAAAGCCCACCTCTTACTCTAATTGAAATTAAGCCATTAACCTGATTGATAACTTTGTATTATTTCATATTGTCTCAGTTTGAGCTTGTATAAAAGGAGACAGCCGAATCAAAAGGGCCAGAATTTTTCCCAACAAGTGTTCAGTACTAAACTATTCCTATTTAGCTACATAGAAAGGTGACTGGACTTCAAGGAACCAAATCCTAAATAATCTAACCCTTAGATTTGACTGAGCATCTGCTCCTAATTCATATTGACCCTTCTGAAAAATCTTTTCCTTAATCCACTAGTCAATTAAGTGTTCAATGCTCCCTGGATCACCTTGGGAACAATAAGGTAAAATATTTAAAGATCTGGCTACTTTATTCAGATACATAATTGTGAAGCCAGTAAGATAAATTTGTTATGCTTAACCCACCAGTGCCAGACTGTGATGGAAAGGTTGCCATGATGTCCTGGCTAGTTAAAAAAAAAGCCAGTTTAAGGATATCCAATTCAAGGGTATCATAACTAAGGTTGGCTCTCTTCTGCATTCCCATTCTCTCCTAATTTAGGAAGGGCTCTCAGAAGCTTCAATTGCAGTGAGTTAGGAGTGCAAAAATGGCACATGGACTTTCTGAGGGCATAAAACTGCAAAGCCTCTGTCACCTGCAGGTCAAGGAAATGACAGTGTCTGCAGGCAAAGGCTGTGCCAACCCAAATAACCCCAAGAGCAGTGGTACACTCACCCCTGGCACCCTTTGCGTTTTAGAAATGATCATATACACACAGGGTATTTGAAGCTGTCTGGAAAATTAGACTAAAATCTGTTCAAGATGGATGAGAAAGCAGAATGGTCAAATCACAGAAGTTGTCACAAGGGCCTACTCTAAACTGATTACATGAAAAGTGAAATAAAACAGATTTGTGATTGCAAAAGACAAATAGCTACTGTGAAATAGAGAGGACTGGAAAAATATAGTGTATATTTTCTAGAAGGTGAACTCTTTGGTCTGTTCAGCCACCTTTATATGAAGAATAGGACTCCTAGTATTCAGAAAAAACCAGATTATTTATACTTGGTCCCCTTAAAAACAGAAGTAAAGATAGGAATTTAAAAATTTTGAAAGGACAAAAAGAGGAATTAGACTTGGAAATGAAGAAAAGATAACCACAGGTTCATCATGTTTCAAAATGAAAGGTTCATACTCTCCAAGCACGGTGCTTAATTGGAAGAGTCTGATCCAGTGCTCTAAAATAAAATCCCATAGTGGCTAACACAAATAATTGGATCACAAGTTAATTGATTTTATTCCTTTTAAATATCTGCACATCCCCTAAGCACCACTATAAATTAAGAATAAAATAGATAAGTTCAGTACTTTATTTAAACTGCTATCATCTGGACCCATATTAAAAATAGTAACTTAGCAGGCAAGTACCCCAGGCCAGAGCTGCATTTGGCTGGAAGCAGCTACATTCATTTGAGCAGTTGTATGGAAAAGGGCAACTTGCTTTGTGGAGTGATGTGCCATATTGTCATTTATTGTGTTTATCATGAATACAGCCTAGAAATTGTTGTCATTTTGTCATACTTAGATATCAACCACTGGACATTCATGTGAAAGGTCACAACAATGGTTCCACTAAGCATGAAGGTCTCTGAGAGTGAAACCAAGCAGCTTATACTTCTTACAATAAAGGAATCAGTAAACGAATGGCAAGGATACAACCAACCTTCAAAAAAGCTGTGTTAAAATACAGCCCATGGAACAGCACCCAGGACAGCTCTGGGCAGAAAAGAGCATGAGTTCAGCAACTCTATTCCTCCCCTCCCTGGAACTTACAAGCCTGCTCTCAACCACATACAAAGCCTGAGAAGATAAAATGAGAAATTATGGTTCCAAATTGGCAGGAATTTTATGCTAGTGAACATAGGAAATTCAAGATGGCAGGTATCTACTGAGAATAATTAGACCTGCATCAAAAAGAGAAGTCAAAGGGGGAAACCAATCAAATTCAACTGCAGCTTCATTTTAGTAGCTGTTTCCTGGCAGAGCCAAGATGGAATCACACTGAGCCAAATTCTCCTCCATGCTGAGTTCTGTAGCAAAGTGGTGGGACATGACAGTGACAGCTCTCACTGAACAGCAAAATGGTTCTGTACGGTCTCAAGAAATAACAGTCTTCTCAGATTTCTGCCATGGGGCAGATACATGAAGAGCTCACTTTGTAAAATGTTATCATCTGAGAATCCAAGCACTAACCCCACCCCAGCCTCAAACAAAACTGGAAATGGTACCAACCTTTATCTGCCACCCTTATTTAAAGATTCTGTAGTGAGATTTTAATTGCTCAGAGCATAATGGAACTAATTAACTTCACTGCATCAGAATCACCCAAATTCCTACTGTCCACAGCAGCATGAGGATGCAGGAATAACCTGGACACCCTTCTGAAGCCACAGGAAAACTGCCTCAGAGTGGGGTACTGATATACACAAATTAAAGCACTGCCACAAGCAGCAAATACAATGCAAGATAAACGTGTCTGGGGTTGTTGATTGCTACCCCATGGCTAATTAAGATTCTGCATGCTGTGATTCCCAGTCAAGAACAAACAAATTAAAACTGCATGTCAGGTCACATTAATCAGGGCGACATTCCAGTGGAAGGTATTCTGTGCAATTATCCTGTGTTTGTTTCCTCATCTATACATCATAAAAAGATGAAAAATAATGGGATTTATCAATTCCCACTTGTCTATTAGAATTTCCCCAGGAAAACTCTATTGTATTTTCCCACCTCCACTGAAGTCCTCTGCTTTTGCAACCACATTTAGCCACAAGTAGCCTGGTGCATGAGGATTCACAAACTAAGCAGGTGAAATACTAGGTGGAAATATTTAGCAAAACATCTGTGCATCAAACAAAGTGATACTGATGATTCTTCAGCCACCTTTCATCTCAGCACCAGGACAAAATGTGCTGGTCTGCTATCGGGGGCCCATGGTGAGGTGTCAAACTAAGGACCCGACCAACTGCAGTTTATACCCAACTCTTCACATGAGCAATTTCATTGGCAATTTCATGGTCAGAGCAAATTATAACCTGGTATTACATCCTCTCTAATCTCTTCAGATTTCGAAGGTATTGTTCCTTTTGAAACTGTGCATAGCACTTACTATATTGGCACAAAGAGCTGCTGTAATTCACTACAGAGATGGCTGGATTAATGTAATGGATTAAGTTGATATAAGTTGTACACAACATATGAAGCAC